TTTCAGCAACAGAATAGATCTTTTCCTGAGCAATCTGTTCGGTTTGATTGCGTGTCTTTTCTGAATTATATCCAGTACTTATTTTTCTTTTGTAGTATCCCCCCTCCACCATGTCCCTTCTTTGAAGCTGGAAGTTCTCTCTTTGGTTTGTAGCTGCTGGACAAGAATAAAAGCAAACCTCAGATGAAGCAGACAAAATGTATGCTGACTTCCACGCTGCTTTCCTCAACTTGTTTCTATTATGCAAATTATTCCCAACGAGTCACATGCACGCAACCACACTTCCTAACCTGCAAGTTTGTTTTTACAGAATCGTAACTCACTCCTGTCTCTGCTCCAACACATTGTCCAACTTTCAGGATTCCTCCGCAGAGTAACTCCCAATTATCTCCATACTCACATTACAGGTAAGCGCACAGTTCCTACATAATCAATTTAAAAATTCTCTAATTCAGAACAAACCACCTCCTGCCTTGACACTACCTCTGCCCCCAGAGAGAGGACCAGGATGCTTTCCCTGCCTCCCCAGGTGCTCCCTCCACATCAAGGTATGTCTGCACTCCGAGGTTCACTCTGCCACGGTGGCTGTTCCCTGCTCTGCAGTCGAGATGTGATGGTGAGGAACACATTCAGCAGATTTATAAAAAGTTTGAATTGCTCTTGAGAACAGTCATCCACCGGCCTCCCTGCTGCCATAAAGGGAAATGCTCCCAGCACAGCAACAAGAGAGGAAAATCCCAGGTTCCCTAGCTCTTTAAGCCAATGCAATAAATCAAGAGTTACATAACTTCTTTTCTTCCCCCTCCTAAAAATACATTCCTAGCCTGAAACATAATTATTAAGTCTGAAAAAATAAAATGATGTTTCCATGGTTTTTACTAGCTCTCAGGCTGAAACATGGAGGCCTTTGGAAGAAAGCTGCTGTAGGGAAGCAGGAAGGTTACAGAGGCAGCAGCATTCCACCGGGACGGAGGAAGAAGCACAGCACCCAGAGCTGAGGATCATGCAGAGACAGGTGCTGGCTTTTCTCTGAAATGCTGCTGTGCCACTGCTCCCCTGCAGTCTGGGGGACCTGCTCCCCTAGCTGGGCTGGCACAGCAAACATGCACACTGTCTGCTCCATGGCTGGCTGAGTTCCAGAGGAGATGATCCACCCTGGACCAGGTGCTCACTCTGGTCACCAGGGGCAGAGGATGTGGCTGGAGGGCCCCTGGGGTGGGTGCTGTACCCACAGCAGACACATCCCTCCCGGCCCTGGAGGGGCCCAGGGTCTCCACAGGTACGTGCAAGCAGCAAACAAAGTCATCTCCAGCAGCTGCTGCTCTCTGAGCACAGATGGAGGCACTCCAAGAGCAGACTATTCCTGGCTGGCCATCTCGGGCTGCAGTTGCCTGTCCCAGCTGAGATGAGCCACAGCCCTTTGCTGCCAGCCCTGGGAACAGGTGCTGCTCCTAAGGAGAACCAGCAGCAACCCTCGCTGCCAGCACCAAGGGGCTTGTGCCCTGCTCCTGGGAAGGACAGACTTCAGCAGCACAACTCTAGACCTCCTTCATCTAGGGAACATCAGAAACCTTGAGGGTCTGTTTCTTGGATCACAGGAGCTGTAATCTTTTTATAACTAGTTAAATGATGTCATATGCTCATTAGCTTTCCAGGCTCTATTTGGAAGGCAATTTTTTTTTTTTAATTCTCTTGTTCCCTTTTTTTTCCTTGACTGCTTAGTTTCTATTCAGCACGAGTGCTCTGCTCTGAAAATTCTGCCAAAGGTTTTCCACATTCTCTGCACAGCCCTCTAACTGCATTGCAGAAAAATAAGACTCATATACACATTCAACCTTGCTCCTCAAACATCTTTAAAAGTTTTGCCTGTTCATATTGAGTTCCTACTGGAAAAAAATAAGTTGATAATCAATCCAGAAATACAATTCTGCATGTTCCTGCACTGAGCCAAAACCACAAAATTTACTACCACAGAAAACACAGAAGTAAAATGAATGAAATTAATCTATCAGGGTTTTTTCCCCCTCCCATCTCTGCTAGGTCATTGCAGTAATCCAGAAAAAGAAATAGTCTGAAATCAAAACTGAAGCACTAGATTCAACTATACTACCTCAATACATAAGAAGAACGTACTCACACACTTTACAGCCATTAAAAAATTAGAAGCAATTATGAAATGATACAGGAATTACCTCGCTCACTCTGGGATTAAAAATATTAATCTTGGGTAGGATGTTAGGAAAAACAGTAATATAGCAATCACTGAACTATTCCAAAAGTCTATGCAAAATTCTGAGAATACTCAGTGATCCTGTGAGATGGCTACAGAGTTGTCCACTATGACTGTCTGAACTGTTCCACTATGTGGTTTGCAAGTCGTATTTGGACAAAAGAGAATACAAATGCATCCCAACATGTTTGACCACAACTGAATTGTCCAAACTGTGCAAGAGTAAACTTTTTCTGGGGCATCTTCTTAAGAAGTGAAACAGATATTTGTCTTACTGAATTGTAACTAATTACAAGGCTGAATTTCATCTTTTCCCTATTTGTGTCCAGAATGGAAGAAACCAGCAGACAGATTATCTTTTTGTTACAGCATAGAAGTTCTTGCATACTTGGAACTCTGATTAAGAAACTGGATGAGACTCCATGGTTTGTGCCATCCTCCATCCTTACAAGGCAGCCACTTTCATAAACTGAAAAGCTTTATTTCAGAACTAATCAAATGTTTTGATCTTATGATGCCTTTTCAAAGAGCTGTTTCTGAGCACTGCCTTGCCAATGACAAGACTTTTAATCTACAGGTTAAATGCACCCAACCCAAGCTATATGCACTCACCCTTGTCCCAGCAGTTTTAATCTCAACCTTAAACAAAAAAGCAACTGTGAAACTTTTTACAACAGTTCTACTCCCTCCAAAAGCTTTATTTAAAAACAAAACAACCCACCCCCCCATACATTCTCTCAGCTTTCCTTTTCCCAGACAGATATCACCTGCTTTACTACCCTCAAGGCAGAAGAGAACTGATCTTTTCCTGAGTTTACAAGTATATCTTGTACAACCCTTACAGCATAGATCATCTTATTTATTTTCAGAACATTACTTGTATGTGGTCTGACGGTGCCCAAGTCCTTCTTCTTTAAATTTTCATAAAAATAGGACTGTCCTACTAAAAATATCCCTTAGCACACTGTTGAGGATTATCATCATCATCACACAAAAGGATGAGAGTCATGGACAGGCACTGGATACCTAATTAAAGAAGTGGAACAAAGCTGAAATGAAGGAAGTGCATTTAGTTACTCTTGACTCTCAGCTGTTGCCATAAGCTTGGGCAGAAGACAAAGACTACTTGCTCTCTACTGGTGAGCATTCCCTGGCACATGCATTTGTGTCTGCCCATGAGACAGTCTTAACCCAACACCTCTCTCTAAAATTCCTCTCTACTTTGAAATTATGTATTTTCCATTTGCCACCCTACCAAAGGCTCCACTAAAATTTTATCTTAGTTTGGTAGGATTACTTTTGGCAAACACTCTATTCCAATTACTTTGTATCTACCTGTTTCTCCAGCAAATGTGGTTCTAATGCTTTGCATATGATGGACTTAAGTTTTGTAGGCTTGCATTTCCATGGAACAACGTACTCCATTTCTCAGAGTTCAATATTTCATGGTAAAGGTTTCTCATATTTTCTAATTAAATAAGCCTCAAGGGGAATTTGAAACCTCGTCTTCCAGTCTGAGCTCATTCAAAAAAGGAACAGGTCCATTGATTTTGATCAAATATGAAGGCCTCTGCCAGCAAAGCTCCCTAAAATGTTGTCAGCACACATATGGAAGACTAGTCCTTGGAATAGCCACAACTATATTTTATTACTTCCTCGAAGATAAATTTCATTCTGAGAAACTTTTGCTTCCAAAAAAACAGGTAATAAAGATTTTCTCTGGAGGTTGCTTAAACCCATACACACACAAGAGTTTCACTTGCAACTGCTACAAAAGCAAGAAATAGAACATTTTATTAATTCTGTTCCCTAATGAAGGAAGCTATGCGATTAACACAGGAATTATACTCTTAAACAACATTAGCAATTGAAGTTCAACAGTGGAAGTACAAGAGATGTAGTACACAAATGGCAAAGTGATAGGTTTTTTAGTCACCTGTGCAGGATAGAAACCCAATCACTGGGAAGATGATTTTGCTTCAAATGAAAGTATTCTCACTTCCTCTTTGGCACAGGATTTTCTTCTTTGTACGATAAAACGTGTAAGTTATAAAGCTACTTGAAATTAGATAAAGCCATGGCAAAAATTAAACAGGAATAAAACAACTGACAAGGAAGAGAGAGGCTGCTGAAGCACTAATATGCTGCCAAACTTCCCCAAAGTCATTAATGTCTCTATCAAACCCGAGAAAACTCATAGATTCATTGTGTATAAAAAGCTGCATTACCTCACCCAGAAGCAATGAAAGCAAGAATAAATTTGAGAGAAAGCAGCCTTCTCAGCACAGCCAGCTTGGTGAACTTCAGCCCTGGATTTCCATCATTGCTGCAAGGACAGAAACCAGCCACATTTGGCTGTGCAACACATACTCCAAACAGCTCAGGACACCAACTGCTCCATCTTTATGGCTGGCTTTAAACATGGGACATTAAGGAAGTTCGTTTCCAAGGAAGGGAAAGGACAACGGCCAATGGTTAATTACAAGGCAAACAAAAAACCCCATACAGATGAGATTTTATATATATGCTCTCTGTACCTTGAAGGTGTTGGGGGGTTTATTACACTCAGACCAGCAGGAAAATGTTACACCCCACGTTCTGCAAACCAGTAGCTACTTTTTGGACTATTCAAAGCAAATGTTTATTTATTCTTGGGAAAGTTTCTGCAATCATCAGGAAAGAAAAAAGAGGCAAATCAAAACTGAATTCATGAATCCAAAGCAATTCCTGGAGAGGCATGTTCCCCTCCCCCAACTATTTTTTTTTTTTTACAAATGAATTTCTAGTGAGGCCATTTGGTATTTTTTTAGTATGAAGTATCATCAGTTCCTCCCTCCGTTGTACACCACTGTCACCCTGATGTATTTTTCTCACAGAACCATCACTTTTGGGACTACTCTATCATAAGAGCTACAGAATTACATTTGACAATCTGTACTAGATAAAATGAAGGACATCCAAACAGGCACAAGGTCATTCAGACTTGAATCTTTATGGAGAGCATTTAAATTGTGCATTTAGTATAAAAAATGTAGTGAAAAAAAAATCAAGAGTGCATGAAAAGTGCTTTAAGTTGGTATGATTTGGGATAAAATTAGCAAGAGTAGTCTCTGCCAAGTGCTATAAAATGATGATGCAATAATTTTACCCTTTTAAGTTAGCACATGTATGGAAGCAATTAAAATGTTTCCTTTTCAAAATTAAAAGGGAAAACTGCAACAGAGAATATTAAACCACTTCTTGAAGTTTAGGCATGCAAAGGAACAGCACAAATGCAACCACTTGGATTTCACAGACTAAGGTCTGTTGGTTTTTTGCCTTGATTGAAATCCATAGTCAACTGTTTCATACCAAAAATGAGCATGGCGTGAGACGAGATGCATTTTCTGGATTTCTGGTTGCATCTCCATTATTCCTAAAATCTCCAGTTGAGGATTAAGCTCACCAGCCAGGAGGACGCCAGACTGAAGGCAAAGTTACAGCACAAAAACTGTAACATACAAAGCAATTCTGCCAAAAATATTAAAATTCTCCCCATGTTTTCCCCAATTGCTTACACAAATCCCAGGTGTTTGGCTAAAAGGGAAAAGCAAGTGAAAATTCTTCCTTTAGAGAAGCAGTGACACAAACAGGGTGAGAAAAAGGGTGCCATAAATCACATCCTTCAAATATTAAATCTCCAGGTTCCACCCTTCCTGAAAAGGTTACGAGATACATAGGATGTTTTATGTGAAAGCTCTTTTTCTGTTTTGCATATGGGGATGACTCAGAGTTGCTTACTTGATCTTGCAGTGGGACAGATCTGCAGGAAAACTCTCTGAAGCACAGGGGCACCGAGGGGAGTCTGTGATCCAACTGTGCTGGAGAATGGATGTCATCAGCTAAGCAGCTCACAAATAAATGAGAAGAATTATGCTCCAGAAACGGAAGTCCTCAGCTTTGAAGAGATGTGCTCTAGACCTCCCACAGCCTGTAACAAGTCATCTGAATTTCTAAATGCATGGCTTGCCTTCTGATGCAAAATAATAAGCAACTGAGGTAGTGCATTAGTAACCAGCAACCATAGATAGGGAATCCCAAATGCTTCATGCAGGGTCATGCCCAGACCTGTCAAGACTTAACCTAGCAAACTCAGCATTGGCTTTGCCAACAAGCCATGAGAGATGGGGAACCAGCTCTGAATTAACCAAACAGGGGCTCCAACCAACAGCTCTGCTTTGCAAAATAACGGCTCAGAATTTGGGTAAAAGCCTATCCCAGTTTGGTAACAAATGAGAGGCTGCCCCATAAAATAAAGAATACCAAGTTACAAGCAACAGAACAAAAAAAAGAATAGGAAATTCATTAGGAAAAAATAAAGACGTTGGCCAATTTTCCCCAAATGACATGGTTCCCGAACAAAACTGACAATAAGAATAGAGAGCCCAGAAAAACCCTGAAAGAACAAACCCCTTGCTAAGTTGTCAGCAACTGGGCACATAGGACAGGCATGCTGAACAGAAAGCAGCAGATTACTCAGCTCCAGAATGAGAGGCTTGTATCATGGGAGGGCAATAAATAATTTCCAGCCCATTGGTTGTTTAAGCATCCTCCTAATTTACGTCTATTAGGGACATGCATATAGAGATTAGCAAGCCTGACTAGGCTGTAACAAGCCCGTATTCAGGAGTTTGAATGAGAGATCTGCCCCAAAGAATATAGTTTTAAAAGCAGTTTTGGGGAAAGCAATGCAATGAAAAGCTTCGAGGCTGTTGGAAGACAAGCCTCAAATCACATGCACAGAGTCCATTACTGATGGAGGCTGAGCACAGCTTTACCTGTAAGTACAGATTCAAAGTTTCTAGAAAATAGGTTCTTACATTCTTCAGCATACTTCAACTTAAATTATCAGTGTACCAACGAGAAAAAGTACTCATTCACAACAGACTAATAATAGGTTGCAATCTCCACAGGCAGCTGCAGGTGAGGGAGTCACACTGCTTGCTGCCACATCTGACTCTCAAATCACAAATATTTCTCTGGATATTCGATTAACAATGAATTTAAAGACTGGAAGAGGACACAGCATTAATATGGCAGTGCTCTGGATTGGTAAACCAAACACTTTTTTTTTTTATATCCACCTAGAAAGGACTGCCACCCATGAAACTGCATCTCCCTTCCTTCTTGCTGCTGTCTTTCTTTAGGGTGGCTAAAATGGGCAAGAGCCACTCAAAAGGAGCTCACCATGACCTGTTAGAGTAAACCAGACACTGGCAATCTTCAGATGAAATGAGTAAAAGCAAACTAATATGCAATACACAATACAAACCTCCACAATTTGTGGGACAGGTGCAAAGAAGAACTCTTTGAGCATCGAAGATAACAGAAAATTCAAAAATAGGTCACTTCACTTTTCTTAGGAGAAACTGTGCATACTAAAATGACTTTTAAAGGGCTTTTAAACAAGCATCTATGACCAAATCAGGAGAAAAGCTTTTAACAGGCAAGGTAATAAACCACAGAAACAAGGCGAGAAGGGAAGCTGTAGATCCTCACTTTTTTATTATACTCTAAAAAAGACATATGATCTCACTTGGAAGATACCTCAGCTAAAGAAGTTGTGCTTTTGTTAATGACACAGTGTTGAGCTCAGTGCTGCACAGTGGTGGGGTCAGCAGCCAGGATTCAGCAGAATTCTGCAGCCATCAGGCTCCCAGGCAGCTTCTGCCAAGAGCCCAGGCTTTGAGCTGCCCAGCTCCCTTTAGAAGGTTGATTTCTCCCAGGTCTCACAGCCTTGTTTAAATGGTAGAATACCATCTCAGTTATTTCACCCTCATCAGCTGATGTCATGGAAGCAACAGGTTTTTTTCTGGCTGAAGCTGTCTGCATTGACTAATTTTTCTTTCTTTTTTTCTCCCAAAGAATAAAAAGATTACTCCCAATTTATTATTTGCTTCATTTCTATCCACAAGATGAATAAAGCCAAATGAATGCTATTTCCACAGCCTGAAGAAAGTGTATTACAGAACTACATTCAATGGTAATTTAATATTCATAAAACTGATACTTTCTAAGTTACAGAACATATTTAAGCAGAGAAATAAAGTCTTTTGCTAAACCTCCATTATTTCTCAGTTTTTCAGAGACAGCATTAGGAGACTTGCTAGAAATGAGCTTATTTCACCATGCTAAAGAGAAACTAAAGTGTGCACCACATGTACACCTATTTTCTGAGTAGGGTTAAATCCCCATTATTGACAGTGTTCTGGTGAATCCTGCATTCAAAGCAGCAGAAAAAAATCCTTGAAATAATTTTAAATGGATATGGTTACTTTTCTGTCCAGCTATGCCTGGCATCTCAAGCATAATTTACAACAGAAATGTACTATAAAAGCTTCAAGTTAGATTTCCTCAAGAAAGACTTTCTTCTTGAATTTGCAAATACCTTATCAAAGTTTCACCAGGTCTCCTCCTGTCTAACATTTAAAATATGACCTAAATATTCAGATTCCAATATTAAAAAAGAAATTTCATTTTGTAAACACTTTTTCAGTGGATGGGATCAATATACAAAAATTAACCCACCAGTGACAGGTCTCCAAGTAAGAATCCACAACCTTTTCCCAAAAACTGATGTCCCTTTGCCTGCCAGCAGCTCATGCAAGCTACAAGGAGTTAAAATCTTGCACTGCATGGCTGAGATTATTTGCTGATGCTCTAACACCAACCAAAACTTGCAGCCCGTGCATATTTGCTGCTGTAGAACGAATATTTAACTGCTAATATTTAATTTAAAACTAACACTTCCTTAAAATAAAACACATCTATATGCATTAAGTCCATATGCATCAACTATAGCAGTCTCCAAACTGTCATTTAGGGAAAAAAAACCCCCAAACCTTGAAACCAACAACTTGGCTTCCTGTGGGCACCACAAAGATCACTCACCAGTAGATAATAAATAAATTAAAATTAACCCCAGAAACATCTTATCATTTATTTGTGCTGGCCAGTGCCACTCCAGAACGAATGAAATACTGTTTTTCACATGAAAAAATCTGTTTGAAAGCATCTATACTGAAGTCAACAGGGTTGCACAGTGGGTCAAGCACAATCTGCAGACCAGAGAGATGTCCAGAGTTGGCTTAGGACAAGGCTCATCTGAAGAATTTGTATTTCTGATGAAGCAGCACTGACTGAAGTATGGAAACCTGACTCTCTGACCTCAGAATCAGACTTCAGCAAGATAAAACATCACCTGAGAAGCTGAAGAGAGAGGACATCAAATGAAAGCAACTGCCAACGTCACATTGGGTTTATGAACCTTTGGAAGTGGAAATATATTCAATTTTCACAGTGTTGGCATGTATTTCAAAAGTGAGTCTGAAAAAAGACCCTTAAAATTAAGTATTAAAGATAGCCTAAAACTTAACAGCAAAGCATTTTGAGCACATGGAGTGCAATCTACAGCTCTGAGCTTGCTCTGCCTCCTTCACCAGACTCACACCCACCTCAGACTCCTCAATGCTGGAATCAGCCTCAACTCCACCTGGCACAGGTGTAAATCTGAGAAGTATTTGATGAAATTAGGAGAGAAGAGGTGTTTGTGCACACCCACCTCCTGCCCCTCAGCAGAGGTGGCCCATGCCACTGAAAAGCACCTTGGCTGTGCTGGTATTCCATACAGGAAGTACTACAGTATTCAGCTTTTCATTTAAAAGAAATCCAAAACAACAGCCCAACAGTAAAGAAAAATGACAGATTGCATCTTTCCATTGCCTTTCCTCAGCCATTACATTTGGGAATGGAGAAAAATACAGGTCAGTTCCATATACTTCAATGACTTAGGGAGAACTTACTGAAAAATAATATCAGAATGATGAGAAAGAGCCTCTTAAAAATATAAGAGATAAATCATTAAAGGAGAGAGAATTATTATTTTGAAATTCACTATAAATAACTTAGTCAAATCCTCCTGTTATGACCTAGACAAAAATGCATGCTGCCTCAACAGGAGCTATTCTCTACTGCAAAATATGAGCAGCCTTGAAGATTTACCGAGGATGTTCACATGCATATTTATGAGAAATATCACTTGCAGCTAGTTTGCCTATTGACTGGCATCAGTCAATCACATGCAGAAAATGAAAGAAGGTGAGCAGTGGCCACGTGAGGTATTTCTACAAAAGCCTTGGGAAGTTGAGACAGGACAGCAGCGACTGCCTCTTCAGAGCTAAAAACATCTTTAAGCAGCACAAGTGTAAGTGTCGCTGTGCCAGCAAATGTGCTTTAGAGATGCGTGTTTAGCAGATCCAGGCATATCCCAAAACACTACCCTGAAATTGCAGGGGTAAAGCTGCCCAATGTTTATTTTCTGCACATGCTCGGGCTTGGCAGGGAGGTTACACAGCTTCAGTATCGGTCAGAGAAAACAGGTCCATGCTATGAACAATGTTAATTAATATATTCTCTAAAATATATTCTCCCTTAGATATGCCCAGTGCTCCAACCCTCCCCCCCCCAAAACACCTGGTCCTTGAAAAGCCCTTCAACTGCAGTGGTAAAGCACGAAATACAGTCAAGCAGGTATTTTATATGTAAAAATGTGGTTTAGATTTCAGAAACGACACCTTGCAAATAATGGATGAGGAAGCAGAACGTTGCACAAATGTCAGCTTTTGCTTTGCAGCATCCTCCTGGGTTTCTGTTATAGTTATACAGGCAGAATTGCAGCAGCTCGTCAGGATTCGTCAAAATCTGGACTGTGGTCTCATTCTGCTAAGGATGGTACTCGACACATGCAGAAAAACATTTCTATGCCTCTGCAGAATTAGCTCATCTTTTAGCTAAACCACATCAAAAAATAAAACTGAAATAAAATAAGACAATACATTTATGGCCTATTTCCAAAGTTTTGCTTTGCTCGTGGTATAAAACTTTTAAGGTGCTGAATACTATTTGGATTGCTTTAAGTGTCTCTTTCCACACACAAATAAATAATAGCCTCTGTAAAAATATTTTCCATGGATTTACTGCTCATTAAAAATAAAGAAAACTCCCTGTCAGCTCATGAAAATGACAAACCCACCAGAAATATTTTTTCAATGAAAAATAAATAAAGCTTGTAAAAAAAAAAAAAAAAAAAAAAAAAAAAAAAAAACCAAAAGTTCTTCCTGGCCGGGAGACCAAGCCAGCTCCCATCACCCTCGGTCTGAATCCTGATCTTTTCTTCAGCATTATCTCCTTGCTCTCAACACAAACACCTAATAATAGCATGGAAAAGGACAGAAGGAAACTGCTGGGAAATCCCTATATATTGCAAAGGAAAGTACAAGTGGAATGGTAAGGATGAAGGGCTGTAGATTGCTTAGGAGATGATGCACAGAAAAGCAGGAGACAGTGTGGGGCCTTTACAGGATTTCATTGCTGGAGCTAAGCAGTCCAAACATTAGCTGTTTTTGATAAAGATCAAACACCCTCCACACCCATCCTTCCCAAAATACACAATAACAGTCCAGCATGACCATCTCCCTCAGACACAGGTTGTCAGAGAAAAGGCCAAGACACTGCTTTAACCTTTCACACAGTTAATTGGAATTTAAGTGCTGCAAACAATTGCACTACTCAACATCCCTTTATATTTGGGTACCCATTTTCTACCTCAACAAAAAGAATAGAATCAGAGAATGGTTTGGGTTGGAAGCAACCTTAATGGTCAATATGCAGAAAATTTATTCCAGCCACCCACCCTGGCTAAAATATCAATTCTCACAGTGTAACAATTAGTGGTCCATGCACAAACAAGTAAAATAAATCCAATCCTGTAATCCACACACAGCACTTTATCACATGCATTTCTGTAAAACCGAGACCAGTTCTGAGACAAAACTACTGAGGACATAATTAGAGATGCAAATGGCAACTTGGAACTTTCATACTAAACACTGCATTGCAAAATTAGCAAGACAAACTTAGTTAAGCACAGCAGAAAAAGTAGCTCCCAACTACGCTTCTCACCCTGGTATACATGCGAAAAAAATGGAAGCCAACAGTAAGTTTTATTAATTAGAAGTGTTAAAACACAAGAAAGGCGAAGTATAAACCATCATTAACATGAAGAAAAACCTCATTTAACTTCACTGGAACAAACAAAAAGGGTACCAATAGCCATATTAAAATCATGGAATTGCTGTTACTAGTGAAAAGAAAAAAATGGCAAAAACAATAAAAGAAAAGAAAAAAAAGCAGACATGCAAGAGGTATTTCTGTTTAGTATCTGATTAGTTAATATTAGAGAGTGGCTCTAAACATTTAACTCTTTCAGATGGTTAGGTCCAAATAACTGGCAACAAAAAAACACCCACGAGATTCTGTCTGAGTTATTAACACCCCTTTTCAGAAAGTCCTGGAGTACCAGGGAAGTTCCAAAAGCCCGGAAGAAAACTAGGATTGCTGCAATACTTAAAATGATAATTGCAGAAAATAACTTTATGATAGCCTGTCATCTGAATACTGAGCCCATCAAAATAGTGAGAAGTTTGAGTCAGGATTTTATTAATAAGACTTTAATTAATAAGCATCAAGTAATTAAAGCAATTAATATCAAACAAGCTCATGAAAAGTAAGTCCTGTCAAACTAATTAATTTTTTTGACAGAACTTCATTTTTTTACTTGTTTTTAGCTGCAAAGACAAGCATTGATGAGATATGCTGCTCCTGCACAGAACTTGACTTAGTTCCACACATTTTGATTAAGAAAATGGGAAGATAACTAGTTTTTTTTAGGTACTGTGCAATAGCGATGCATTTGTCTAGAAATGTCAAAAAAACCCCAAACACAACCACAAACCTGGAAATGAAAACAAAAGCTGAGGACAATTCTCTTTTGCTTGTGCAACTGCATGTAATTGCCATTCTAATTTTCACAATATCCTCTTAACGTACCTCAAAAGACAATATTGACTGGATTAAATATTAAATACCCATGCAACTCATCAGAATAAGAAGCCTGGAACCGTCCATCTTTTCAGCAGGAATCCTGTCCTGAATTATTTCCATATGATGTGAGGATATGGCCTCGAGTAGCAACAGGGCAGGTTTAGATGGAACATTAGGAAAAATGTTTTCAGAGAAAGAGTTGCCAGACAACAACAGGCTGCCCAAGGAAGTGGAGGGATCACCATCCCTGGAAGGGGTCAAAAGAACTGGCACTTGGGACATGGTTTAGTGGTGGCAGAGCTGGGTTACCTGTCAGATTCACAGGTCTTTTCCAACCTTAACCATTCTGTAATCCTGTGATTCCAATTTCCATCTGGTCTGTGCTTTTCAAGTGGCAAAATGGTGACTTTTAAGCCAGAAGATTAAACACTCACAACCAAAACTGAGAGCAGAGAAGCCAAAAGAAACTGAAAAACCAAACAGTCAGAAATAAGGCAGAAATAGCACTGCAAAATTCAAAAGAAGTTTGAGGGACCTGTCATATGAAATTACTGCACAGGGGCTAAAACAAAGTAAATGAAACCATCTGCAACTGCTTGAATATTCTGGTTTTCCAACCCTGAGCTTGATACCTGGTGGAAAAGTATATGTCTGTCTTTTTTGAGCTCCAGAAGTGTGACTAAATACTAACATAAATAGTACCAAATTATACATTGTCAGAGCATCGAGCTGTATAATAGAACCCCTGCTAAAACACAACCTCATCAGACTTTTATGTTATTATGCTTCCTCAATACGAACGTTTCTGAAGTTAAAGGTCTCTGGAAACAGTAGAGCTGCTCTTAGTACATATCAAACCCGCATTTTAGATATATCAGTAACAGGTAAAGCTATAGAAAGGCTGCTATTCCCCAGACTGAATTTCACGAGGTTCACACAGGCCCACCTCCCCAGGTCCCTCTGGATGGCATCCCTTCCCTCCAGCACTCAGCTCCACCACACAGCTGGATAGCAACTTAATTACTTTCTTTTTCTTACAGTGAACACTATACAGCAAAGCCTCCTCAACCTTTTCAGGGTTTTATTTCAAGGTGGAAGTGAAACTAAATTAGAATTCCAAAAATAATTACAATTTCGCCTAACGCACAGGTGCTACAGAAACATACTGATATTACAACTTCAACAAAAGACTTTTTCTGATATATTCTTAGAACATAACAAAAACACTAAGGAGTCCCGTGGGAAATTCAACATGCTGGACAAGAAAAAGGGATTTTTGGATTTCAAAGCATGTTAGTTGCTCCATCAAATAAGAAATTAACAATTCCAACAAGCTTATAGGGGGAAACAACCCACCTCTTTGTATTCAAAGCAATCAGACAAAGATTTTTGCAATCAGCCTGCTGGATGGCTATAATTTTGATCCAAATTAGATCTACTAGAGTGGAAAACAGTTCAAGAACTGTTTAGGCTTTTTACTATCTTAACAACAGAAAAAAAACAACTTCGTTGCAGTGCTAAAAACAGTTAAAAACCAAATTATGGGATACTGTTGAAGACAGTTATCAAAAAATTGCCATTCTACTTGTGAAGTAAATTAAATGCATAGCAACAGTGGATGGATCCACGAGGAGATCCATACAAGAGCATTTCACAAAAACAACATTAAAAAAAAGAAAACTTAAGTATGACCTAAATTTACTATATTCAGGTCTTACAACATTCTCTATAAACATTCTTTAGCTAGGGGTTGACTACAAACTAGCCCCTAGAAATTGGGACGGAGCCAGAATAATACCTTCTGATACCAAAATATTGTTTTATTAACACAAAACAAGCAGATGTCTTATTTAGACTGAGACAGGAGTTAAGAAAACACAAACTCCAGCAATTGCAACAATACAATCCCTTCTTCTGACTAGGTAAAAGCTTCCCATGTAGAATATCCCTTTAAAACCAGAACAAGCCAAGACTGCCTGAAGCCAGGTGTCTCTACATCCCTATTTTATCATCATAATGCTGAAATTAAAGAAGATGAAGGTCACTTCTTAGTACCTTTGAAAGCATCCTAGACTGTCCACCCTTTCTTGGGTTGCTGGGGCTTTTAAGATCTCTCTATCCACACCTTCCCTTAATTTGCAAAATGAAACTGTCAAATGCACTATGCAAAGGCAAGACCTCAGACACAGAATCAAACTAATTCACATCTGCAACATGGGCATCAATCGCTGAAAAGAATAAATGCAGGAGTAACGAGTCCAAGGAGGAAAAATTCTCCAAGGATGCAAAAATTAACAGTGATTAATTAATTAATGACCCAGCACAGATTTGAGGTAAGCCGTGAAGTGAACATTTGTTTATAAAAAACGGGCTTTTCTCTCCTTTTAATTTTGGATTAATAGGAACTTGTCTCTCTCACACAAAAAAACCCCTGTAACACCCAAAAAAAATTGTAACACCCAAAATCCAGACCAAAACAACCCCTCCAGCTGCCCCTCCAGGAGCTCAAAACTTTCAGGTTTCCTTCAGTACAAGGCAGGAAAAAGCAAGCTCTCATCTCACTCCCTCTTCATAACTTTTTGCTGATAGACCTCATCCCTACAGAAGGCAAACCCTTGGGAAAAGCGAGCTGTCAGACCAAGAGAGCCACATGGAAACCAAATATTTTCATAAATTCTATTTTCATCTATTATTTTATTGCTATACTTTAAAAAGCTTACTTAGGTAACTTATGAAGTAAGTCACGTTTGTTGTATAGGTAACATGCTGATCTGAATACAAACTGCTTTTAGCATGATATCACTACATTATTTTTAACAAACCAATCTATTCCTCTAGCACATCCTATTTTACAGCTTTCTATCCAACTCAACAAAGCTGGTATAAAATACCAATGCTTTCAGAGATGTCACAACAAAACAACTTTCATCAGAACAAGAAATGCAATTACATAATTTTTTAAAAAAATTTTAATCCTCCTCTTTGCTTTGGCTTTGATGAAGACTGCTGATGGCCTGTCAAATTAAAAAAAGGAAGAAAAAAAAATTCAACACTGAATTTTCAGCTTATGGGGTTTTAGCTTCCTTGGTGATATGCCTCCCACATTGGCCCAAAAGCATAGTGCCATACCTGGCTCTTGACCCAAGCACTGTATAAACATCCCTTCGTGCTCCATGCCAGAATTCCTGCCTATACTTTCACTCAAGTCCCCCTAAGGATGGTAGAGAGAATCAGGCAAGGATGCTGCATGTGTGCTACTCGAGCTTTCACGTAACTTTTTTGCAAATAATGAATCAGGAACAGAATTAACTGCCTTCAGCAGAAAGACAGGGTACAGCAAACAAATTGAATTGAATTTGCTTTTACTGTAGCTGCTTTTCCCACTGTTTTTGAAGTTGTGTTTAAAACATTAAGCAGAAAGCATCCCAGAAGCCCCAGATTTGACATCCTGAACCATTCAGAGATATTTCTTCAGATAGGAACTGAAAGACTCTTCTATTTTCCAAAAGAAAATGATAAAGGGGGCTTTTAATCCAGAAACACACACAATAAAACTGGCCTCATCCCAGATGGTTTCCCAGGATGAAGAGAGCAACATCCTGCTCTCCCACCCCTCCAACAGACACAGGGGCCCCATCTGTGGAAACGCAGCCCCTGAATGCTACAAGTGAGCATTTTGATGTCCCACTGCCAACAGTCCAAAACCAGATGCAGCAATCAAATGTGGTTTAGCCAAGTTTTCACTTTGTTTGCAACGATATGGACTTTCCTGCTAGAAATCATTCTGGAGGCAGTGCCCGGCAGGGTGGCAAGGCTGTAATTCCCGTCCCTGCAGAGGGGAAGCACTCAGTGCAGCACTCACTATTGGGCACGCTTACAAAGCCTTTATTTAAATATACCACCACCTCTGCTGGAAGTTGGGAAAGACCAAAAAAAGCTCAACTACATACCGTGTGATAACAAGTTACTGTGAATCCACCGCCAAACACAGTAATTGCACATGCTCGCTCTTTAACTCAAGTGACCCTGCTTTTGCCAGGGGCGAATAATGCACATGCAATTACCATAAACAGCTGATGAACTGTAACTTGTTTGTGCATCTGGAACGGTGGGCGTTTCTGGAAATCCTATCATGTGCACACTTACATACTCAGGGCACCTTGATTACTTTCTCAACCCTCCCTTAAAATGCCCACTTGTTTTTTTTTTCTCTGGGCAGCGGCAGTAAGGTCCTGTGACTTGTGTTATTTCCATGTGCTCCATCACTCAGAGAAAAGCCCAGAAGCCCTACCAAGGTGCCACAGCAGGTGTGCGTTGCCCTCACTGTGTTCCATAAGACAAACAACCCAAAACTCCACTCATCCCAGAAAAGCTGCCTGAATGAGGGATGTACTTCTGAAAGCAGAAGCTGAAACAGTGAGGTACTACAGGCTTTATATGCCAACAGTCCCCAGAGCACTCCCGTGCATTTGCACATGGTTTTTCCACTACCAATTCTAAAAAAACCCGCAGTGAGAGGAAAAACTTCAGCTGTTTTAAGAACTGACCTCCAGCCAGGAGGACAGGACTAAACACTCACCCAGACATAAGGCACGTCACGTACAGCAACAGCGGCCGTGGCCAACTTGCCTTTAGATGGATTTGCAGTGATTTTAAACTCTGAATAGGTGTCACACACATTTAAGCCTGTTACAATGAAGGGTGTCAAGAGGCAAATGTCACTTCAGGATTCCAGCTCTGGACTGTGTACAGGAAGACTGGGCAGCAGCCGTGCTGGCACATCAGCCTTTCCAAGATGGACTCGCAGGGATGGGCTAACTCACCCGCTCCGCTGCCTGCTAAGAGCCAGCTGCAATCTACTGGACAGAGCACAAGTTGCAGGGAAACAAACAGATCAGGAATCTGCACCTTTGACAAATGCTCTTCAGACAACAAAGAAAGGCCCATCAGTGAAGTTCCCAGCACTGAGGTTTTTTTACACGGCAGAGGAGCAATTTTACTGGCATTGCCTGCACGTGAAACCATTAACATATAATATTCCAAACCGGGAGGATTATTAAGTGCAGTGATGCGCCGAAAAACTGCAGATGCCAACTGTTTGTACATTTTTGGCTTAGGGAGGACTTCTCAGATCCTCTGCAACGTAATATAAATCATATTTACAAACCAAAAGACGTGAGGAGTCTCATATGTCAAGCCACAGTGATTTACAGGCACTTACGTATTCTCACTTTTCCAAGTATGTCATCAGATACCTCAGCATCGAGTTGGAAATACAAAGAGAGGAAGATAACATCCCAAAGAATTTATTTCTATTTGCTTCCATTTTAAGTTCTGGACATGCAGAGTATACATTTTCATTCATCTACACTTTAGCACCTTTCTCTGGGTTTTCTCTTCTTTCAACATGTTAGGGTGCAGAAAAATAATTAACAGATATAAATTACAGCTGCCTCAGGGACAGAAGTGATAGTGTAGAAGAGAAGCTAAACATAGATGATACAAGCAGATTGAGCAATGTGAGCAATGTACTGAGATGTATTTCCATGTGTTTTGTGATTCCATCTTCTTGCATGAGGACACATGCAAAGAGCACGAATCAAAAAACAGAGGAGGCAATCAAACAGCATTTCCAAACTGGCAAGTGATACTTCCTGAAATAAGGAAAGAGAAGTAAAGGTTGTTTTGCAAACCAGCAACACAATAGCAGCATCAGTAAAAAACTTGAAAAAGAATTTGCAGTCTGAAAATACTGCCCTGAGGCTGCCTGCCCTCCTCAGGCAGCTCAGCTTGCAGCAACCTCCTCTAAATGAAACCATTCCAGACTCTTTTTGCTGAAACACCAGATCCCTACAGTGGTTTCAGCCACAGCACAAGCACTTAGCAGCAAGGCACCATAACCAGGCTGAGCACCATGAGCACACTTTTCTTTCAGAAAGAAGGAATAAAGTCCAGTGGATGAGGGGAGACACTATTTTGGCACCAATGTCTGTATTTAATCCATGCACTTAACGGCATATCAATTAAATGTAATCAAAATGCCAAAGAAGTATTGTCACAGGTATGGGGAAAAAGGGCAACAGTCTGTTGGTGGCTGCACACAAGCACAAAGAGATAAAAAAGAAAACAGAGGTGGCACCACAGAGGTTTATATCTACAGAGGAGTCACATCTACATGAAGAGGAGTGGTGTAAGCTTGTTCTGGCTTATAACAAGTGTCAGACTTGCTGCACATGTCTACAGTGAAGTGACACTGGCACAGCTCTGCAGGATTGCCAGCAATGGCCAAGGCTGGCAGCCAGGACATGTCCCCAAACACCCTGGGGAGTCCTAGGTGCCAGCCTGATACTCCCATGTCCCTGCATATTTGCTATTTCTGTTATTCAGGGCAGCTAAACTGAGCTAGCACAGGGATGCACCCATGTGCCATAACAAAATACCACCCTTTTGCTGCTTAAATAAACATATACCTCAGAGCAGCAGGAATAAAAGGAGAGATCAGACAGCAACAACAGCACAGGAGCTTACAAAGGCCATAGGTAACCTGGTGTTAATCAGGAACAAAAACACAAATAAAACACCACCACACTTTCTTAATAAGGTCAGTAACAATGACCTTCCAGGCCATGGGAGGTCACACGATTTCCCTCCATTCTGACTGGGAGGTGAAGTAGTAGTAGCATTAAAACAGAGTGGGATACAGAGTAAAATTTAACAATCTACCTCCTCAAAAGCAAGATGGTTGTGCTGGTTCTTTAATCAGAGCCCAGAAAACCTAAAGTGGTTTGGTGAAGTTTTTAATGGACAAAGTAGCTCTATCACAGGAAGAGCAGGCAGATCAGGTGGGCTTATCTCAAGCTTTCAGCTGGTTAACAGAAAACCTCTAAACCAAAACTACAAGTCTGTCAGTGGAAAAGCTTGTATAGAATCATCAAGATTTTTTCAGGCTACCAGAATACACTGACATTCAACTATTATTTGGAATACAGTAGAGCCTGAGGCCCCCAGTACTATGTTATGTCACATCTGATTTTGGATTTCTGTCTAGGAGCTTATTAAAAACAAACAAACAAACTCCACAACAACAACAAAAATCTCACAGTTTCTCTGTCTTAAGCTTCCAAACAATATATGATGCCCGTGTAAGAGAGGGTAAAGAAAGAAGCTTGGCACGGCTGCACAGCAAGGCCAAGAGCAATCCTCACACCGTGATCCAGTCCTGAGGGTCATTTCTTATCACTTTTAGCTTCCCAGCACCATTTGCCAAGTTGGTCAATACATTAGCAGACCCTTTTTTTAACTGCTGAAAGAACCTGGTGATGTGGAAGTTTCATTCTGCCCCCACAGCACCTGTTGCTCAATGAGGAGGAGAACTCTCCTAAACCCTCCCAGCCAATTTAGGGAAGGCACCACTCACTCCCAGGCTGCTGCCCTGGCTCAGGAGCTGCTCTCCCATACAGGGACATGGCACTGCAGCCAACAAAAACCCCACCATGCTCCTGACCTTCTACTCACCAGAGGAACTGATGGGAGCAGTGACAGAACAGACCTTCAGAAGTTGGAAGCCCAGAAGCTGCACTCTGGCCACATCTGCAGCCCCCCCAAACCTAAAGCATCAGCTGCAGCACCAAGACTGGCCCCACACCATGGTGCATTCACTGCTTGCTCGAATCAGAGCTCTGCAGACCCCTATCCCAGCCTAGAGAGACTCAGTACGCTGCCAAACAACATTTCCAGGTCTTCCCATGGAGAGATTACCAAGCTGCCCATCACAACTCAGGATAACCAGCAGCAGCACTGCTCCTGCTCCCGACCCCGCAGGTTATGCGGGGAGGAGGCTGCAGATCCTCCCCCATCAGCAGCTGCCCTGCATCCTGCATCCCACAGCTGCCCTGCATCCCACAGCTGCCCTGCATCCCGCATCCCACAGCTGCCCTGCATCCCACAGCTGCCCTCCATCCCGCATCCCACAGCTGCCCTGCATCCCACAGCTGCCCTGCACCCCGCATCCCACAGCTGCCCTGCACCCCGCATGCCACAGCTGCCCTGCACCCCGCATCCTCAGTGATGCTGCTCAGCCCCTTTGCAAGCTCCTGTTTCCCAGCTGGAGCGGGTCAGGCAGCAGAGCCAGCCCACCCCGAGAGAGGGCACTTCACTCCGTGCAAAGCAGCCTCGCAGCCGCTGAGGGTTTAGAAAATTGTCTGCGGTACCAGTAGCTACAAGGAAAAGTTTTTAAAATAAAATCATGCCAGCTGCGGAGAGCAAGCAAAGGAGTGTAAGACACCTGTGAGTTTGATCCTGGGGAAAAAAAACCAACAACGGTGATTTGAAGAACACAGACTACAATTACAATATATTAGAGATAAGTGATTTCATTATTTGCACGATTTTCTTTGTAGGTGAAAAAGTCAGTAAGGCACTAAGTGCCTTGACTAGGTTTAAATTCAATTATGAGTACGTTTTTACCACCTGAAAATTAGATTGGTACATTTTTCAACTAACAGTAATCAGCTATTCTACACTTTTTTTCCCTCCAGTCAATAAATACAAGACA